GAGCCATCTTCCCAACCCAAGCAATATTTACTTTTAAGCAATCAATTTCTCAATGTTAAAGGACTTTCAGATGAAAAATATTTTTAGTATTTTTTTTAGAAAATTATTGTCAGGGCTGGTAATGTGGCTTAGTGGTAGAGTGCTTGCCTACCATTCATAAAGCCCTGGGTTTGATTCCTCAGTACTACATACACAGAAAAAGCAGGAAGTGGTACTGTGGCTCAAATGGCAGAGTGTTAGCCTTGAGCAAAAGAAACTTAGGGACAGTACCCAAGCCCTGAGTTCAAGCCCCAGGACTGGTTAAAAAAAAAAAAAGTTAGGGCCTGGGTGCTGTCCCTTAGCTTTTGTGCTCAAGGTTAATGCTCTACTACTTTGAGCCATAGCTCCACTTCTGGTTTTTAGGTGGTTAATTGGGGATAAGAGTCTCATGATCTTTCCTGCTAGGGCTGGCTTTGAACCCTGATCCTCAGATCTCAGCCACCTGAGGATTACAGGCATGGGCCACTAACACCTGGCTTAGTATATTTTTAGTGTATTTGAAAATACTTTTTAGTATAAAGTCTTGTGTTTCAGTTCCTTGATTTAGATATTTTAATAATTAACAAATTATAATTCATTGGATTCTGGTGTCCTTCATCTTGTATATATATTTTTCTAATTTGGGGAGGGGAAAGAAAATAACAAAATGTGGAAATAAGGATACAGGATTACCCATTGTAACAACGAGATGTACAAGACACTATGTTGAAAATGAACTTTACAACTTTGCGGGTGGTAGGGTGGTGGGGTGGGGGGTGAGGAGTTGGGGAGGTGGGGAGGAAAGGGATGGTAGGGGTAAAACAAAGGAGGGGTAACAATGCTCTATAGTAAATGGACTCATTACCTTGCTCATGTAACTGTAACCCCTCTGCACAGTATTTTTAGAATAAAAATATATTAAAAAACAAATTATAACTCATTGGGGCTGGTTTTGAAAATATAGGGGATGGGAAAGATTTTTAAAAAAATCTAATAGGCAGCATAAGGGAAGGGAAGATGAACCAAAGTTAGGTAAGAAACAGGGTTATCTTATCTTTTAAGGGGTAGGGTATCCTTTAAAGCCACACATCACATATCCCTTTTGGAATGCAAGATCAGAGAAAAGCATGAATATGATTTTATCCATTTGCTTTAAAAAGACCCACGTTAAGCAGGATTCGTGTGTGTGCATGCCTGTATGACTGCAATGAAATCATGTTTTAAAGAGGATTCAGCCACATTATATTTATAACTATGTGGTTGCTACCAGCTACAAGCAGGTCTCCTTGCAGGGGGTTCACTTCTCTCTGTGTGTCCTGATTCTGTTCTAAAGTGTGCAGCTTTGAGCAAGCAGCCTGTTAGTCTATGCCCTGTTCACCAATTACAATCCAAGCTGTGGCTTCCAAGGAATCTTGTTCTGGTCCTGCTTAGGACTACTTTCTCAAATCTTTGTCTGATTGCAGGAGGGAGCAAAAGATGTTGGGGATCAGGATCCTCTTTTGACTGTGATGAATCATTCTCTACCTGGGGCCTGTCTTATTTGGCTAGAATAAACTGACAACTGGAGCTTAACCAAAGTGTAGGTTCATTTGCAAACATCAACTCAGCAGCTTCCCAAGGGAACAAAAGGATGATGAGGTATTGCATCTTAAACATTAATGTTCATAGAAAGCACTTGGGGAAGGCAGTTAAAATGCTGATTTCTTGGCCCCACCTGGTGTTTCTGATCTCATCATTTTTAGTAGAGCTTCAGAATCTGTCTTTTAAGTAGGTACCATAATGTGATTCCTTTGCTGGAAGTTCAAAAAACCATACTTGGAAGAATGCTGAGAATTTCAGGGTCATTCCCACCAACAATTTAGCAAAATAATACCATCATTCCATCTTCCTTTCATTTCTATCCTTCAGGCTGCAGGTTTGGAATCATTAAGGATATCTTTGAAGTTTGTATTAACCTGATATCATGGAGGAACTAAGGTGCATTTGAGAGAGGCACACACTGTGATTTAGGGAATGCCCTGGGGCTCCACACATCAGGAGGATTCATGATAGATCAACAGTACTTCTCTAGGTACAGAAAAACAGAGAAGAGTTTCTGGATGGTAGATAAGGCATCTTCAAACTATGATTCACTGGTGCAGCTAGTCTCTAAGCCTTCTGATTGTTAGCAAAATGACATATGGTACATAATCTGAACACATACCTAAAGTTCACTTCTGTAAGCATTCACTTTTCACTTCAAGGACACCTCTTGAATTTTATACTCAATCCATCTCTCATTTTCATCTCATATTTCATTACATATTTGGAGTAGGAAACACTTTTATTTTCTAGTCAAAGGCCATTTGAATATTATAACATTTGTAGGCTATATAAAATTATCACTACAGTCAGGCAGGCAACTGGTGAGGAACATATGTATCCTGTCTTGTACCAAATGATTTTATAAGCCCCAATCAGCTCACAGGCTGCACATTCCCCAACCTTGGCTGAAATAATAACCGATCACATATACATGTAGTACATTGTGGAGTATAATACATTGTCATCTGAACCTTGTGGTATAGTTGTAATGTTTATACATTGTCATCTGAACCTTGTGGTATAGTTGTAATGTTTTGGATGCAAAAGCATACAATGTCAAGTGAAAAGACCTGAGTTCAAATCCTAGCCCCGCCACTACTAACAACCTAATCTTAGAAATGTTAATCACATTTTCGAGGCCTAAGTTTCCTCATTACAATTCAGTGAGGAGAATTATAAAACATCTAGAACTATGTCTAGAACTTAAGAAACCCACAATATTCCTTTATATTTATATTTTAGTTTTTGTATGCAAAAAGAAATACTTTTCAAATTTTGCTCACATAGGGTTCTTAATGGCATGCAGTAGAAATCAATCTAAGTAAACAAATACAACATGTCTGAAAAGATTTTGTGTGGCTCAACAAATTGCCAGGAATGCTTTAGCTACAGATACAGAAGATAGACTAGAACCCAGAGAGGCTACATAAAGATCTCAACCCAAGATTGGGTATGGTGGTACACGTCTGCAATCTCAGCTGAGTGGGAGGCAGAGATGGGAGGATCATAGTGCAAGGCCAGTTAATGCAAAAAAAAAGTGAGATCCTATCTCACAAGACAAGTAATCCCAGCTATGTGGTAAGTAAAGAGAGCAATCCAAGGAAAGTCTTGGGCAAAAAAATTAAAACTTTACTTGAAAAAATAAAGCATAAATGCTGGAAGGGTATATGGCTCAGTGGTAGAATACTTGCTTAGCAAGCAAAAGGCCCTGAGTTCAAAACTCCAGTAAAAACAAACACCTCAGAACATATGTGGTGGCTTAACCACCTGCCAGATGGCCCAGGACACAGGTGATGCTACCAGTCTGGTGGCCAAACTGATTCTCCACTGACCCTGTTTCTAGAACTTCTTGTCCAGATTTTTAAAAACAAAACAATAACAAGGACAAAAAAATCCACACCAAAACTGTGCACAAAAGATCAGCTTGGCCATACCCAGGAACTTGGCCTGCACTCTAGCTGGCGTGGTCAAGAGGTGTCTCCAGACTTTCTGGCCTCTGTAGCTGGAATTGCTGGAATTGTGAAATGGAATTCAGGTGAATGACCACTGTCCAAGGTCTCTTCACTATTTCAATACCATGTGGCAATGTGCCACACCTGTTAACTCTTTGTTGTTGTGGGGTTCTTTTGGGAACTCCCCTCAAGCCTAGTCAGCTGTTTTCAAAGTCTACTTTAGACATTTCTGTTCTTTATTACCCTCTTCTACCGGGAATGCCCCGCTCCTGACACTTTCCCAACACCATTCCTGGAACAGCACGAATCTTGTCCATTTCTCAAGGCTAACTTACTCTTTCCTCCGTTCCAAAGGCGCTTTTCCTCCATGACCACATCTGCTAGATATTATAATGAATGGGTCATGTCTCTAGTGGTCTGACCTTCCTCCCTCTCTTGAACTCAAGATGAGGCTTGTTTTACTTCTCCTGGAGCCGTGCTTCCAATAGGGCCTTAATACATTCATCAAACTAACCAGATATTTCTCAGTTGTTCTTCTTTATTCTTTTACCACAATGGTGATTCCTGTTATAGACAGAGGGGTAACTCCATTCAGAAAAAACAAGTTGGGAATAGTCCACTTGAATCTGGAAAGTGTACAATGTCAGGTAATTTATTATTATTTTTTTCGTTCTAGTTGTATATATTTCCTATTCAAGAGGCTGTATGTCCTTTTCCATCACATCATGCTTTGGCAGGAAAAAGTTGTGAGACAGGATTCTACCTTCTCCAGTTCTGGTGGGCCTCCTGCTTCCTTGCACTGTCACAAAAAAAAAAATAGAGAAAGAGAGAACCAGACACAGAGGCGGGGGACAGCCAAAGTAAACACCCCTGCCCACAGAGCTCAGGCCAGGTGAACGAAGTCCCACCCGAAGCTTTGCTAAGTCCTCCCTGGCTGCAGTGGCCCTTTCTCCGGGTGCAGGTGCAGGCATCCCAGCTTGCTGGCTTCGCTGGGAGAAGCCAAACGTTGCCCCTCCGCCGCGCCCCGCTCCTCCCCGCCCGTCCACCCGCCCACCCTGGTCGCCCACCCGCCCCGGCCCCTGGCCGGGGTGAATTTCGTCCTCTGCGCTGACCTCGGGGCCGCGAGGGGCCGGCACGTGACCGAGAAACTTTGGCAGCGAGGCGGCGGGCGGAGGCGCGGGAGGCGGCGCATTCCCGGAGG